GTATATGACCTTGACCCCGTATTACCATACACGAGTCTCAATAAATACAATCTCACAATATACGTGTAAGCCACCGAGTTTTTAAATGATAATCACAAGTATTTGTAAAAATTGTATATGAGCTTGAGTACCATAGTACCAATAAAAAGAAAAATAAATAAATAAATATATTAAAAAGAACAAAAAAAAAAACCTGTTTATTTTGGACTAAATACAACGCAGCAAGCCACCGTTTTAAAATTATAATTTTTAAATTAAAAATAAAACTTGTTTATGACCTTGACCTCGCGCACAAGCAAAGAAAATCTCACATTTGTTCATTTTGGATTACGTACGACGTTGGAAAATTAAAGTTCAAATAATTAGTAAAACTTGTATATGACCTTGCCCTTATAGTATTAGTCATCCATAATATACAGTATTCTACAATATGATTTTATATCCATTAACATAGTTAAATGAAACAAGTTATTACAAAGTGCGACAGACTTTATTACAAAGTGCGACTGCTTTGCGTATTACAAAGTGCGACAACTGCATTGCGTATTACAAAGTGTGAGAGGCAGCTATTGCAAAGGGCTACAGATTGATTATTATTACAAAGTGCGATAACAGTTATTAGAAAGTGTGGCAGGTTTATTACAAATTGCAACAAGTATTACAAAGTGCGACAGTACAGATGATCGATCAATGATTAGCGCACATGTGTTCAAGTGAGTGTAATAATTATTACGTCATAGATAGAAATTCAGTAATTTCAATTCAGATGGAAATATGATGACGTCACAATGTCCGATCAGCCATAATGATCTATAGAATCATATCTACAACTCATGTCCTTTAGGAATATTTAATAAAAATAGGGTGTCACCACACATCCTAAGGAGCTATAACTGATTAAATTTAGGTATTATTTTGGCATATTTTCACTGTATATTGACATAAACGTGCGCACGGATTTGTATGATTGATACGCACGTGCGGGATGTTATTAGCCCTAAAATGACTAAAAAGAATACAGTGGCAGAAACCCAAATATGTAAAAAAAAGACGTAATTTATAGCTTCCGTACGTGCTATGTGCGTGAAAATCTTCTAGAAAAATAACAAGGATAGAACCTGTTGCCATTTTTGAGAATAGCCGCGAACAAGAAATGGGAGAAAGAATAAAAGAGGAGAAATAAATAAAGACAAAGCTGAAGAACAACAATAGGTGATGATATGCTGCACCTAGTTATTTCTTAGGCACTTTTTTTAACTTGTATATGTTATCAGATTAAAAATGATTCTATTTAGGGGGTAGGGGAGGCTTTACCCAAATGGTCTGTTGCATCGGGGACCATTCCAGATTGTGTTGGAACAGCGACGCAGTGTTAACGATTCAGTGAAAAGTGACAATGTAGAGATTTTATATATGTCATGCTTAAGCGGCTTGGCGCAGTCGAGGTCGGGACGAATGATTATCTCATCGCCATCGTTGAAAGTTGAACTACGTCTACCATAGTGGTTGCAGTAGGCCTGCGCACCTAATATATTTTTTTTACTTGCTTTTGCTTTTTTGGGTACTAACAGTTTTTTTTCTCAAATTCAGCGTAATATTCGATAGGCCTATGTTTCATTGTTTATCAATGTATTATATTAGAAATTCACAAATGTTACACTTACATCTTCTTGAATTGTGTTGGTGTACTGAGAGTGGTCGAACTCATAGCCATCGGTACATTCAATTAGCGGCGTATCAGTCGTTATATTGTAGTAGCTATCATACTGCATACAGTTGTGTTCATTCACCGTCGTACTAGGATCATCCACTGGTATAATGACGCTCGAGTTCGTAAATAGGCAGCCAGTATCCCCAACATTGCTGCAATTTGGTGTGACTGTGTCTGGAACCTTGCACCAGTGATCGGTTGCGCCCCCCAGAAAGACCTGACCCAGGTGATGGAAAGATACAGAGACTGTCAGCATACAGTACCAGTGGAAAACCCATAACTGGTAACGGCCAAACTCCCCTATCCGCGCTAAAATATCATCTAGCCTCATTATTTCGAGAGTTTCCCAGTCAATCTGAATCAAATATTCCCCAAGTCTGAAATAAAATGTAGTTCATTCCAATATATTATATGCATATCATTTAAATTTAACCGTCTAGTATTTAACATACATAGTATTAAAAAAATAATTTTCCTTATATTTTTACTTACTGGAATACAGTTCAAGAGTTTTGGTCATTTCTAAGACTTACCAAAGTCTCCATGCCATAAATTGACATATAGTTACGCTTTCTTGTGCGTAATTGGTATCCAAACGCGACTCAGAGTTACACAATACATTTAGTGGGATCGGACACGCATTCCTTAAACCAATTAAACAATGGGCTTTTTGAAAAATTTCATTTTACAATTTAACTGCAACCTCTGTAGCAGAAAATGGCTTATACACATTTTCTCTAGTTTTAACAAAATAAGAGAACTAAAAAAAAGTACTAACTATGCCTTTTGTGCGTCAGTTCTCTCGTCTATTTTGAAAAAAGTGGTAAATAACTCCTTGTTTAAAGCAGACCATTTAAAAATGAAATAATAAAATCATTTGTAATTAAATCCGTAATTTCAAATATTGGCAAGGATAACATTTATCTGGTTCTTCAAACTTATCAAAATATAAGTCAGATATATAAAACGTCTCATAATCACACAAAGAAACACTCTAAATAGTTATGATAGTTGACAAATAGAGGTTTGACAAATCTTCGTTACAAAACATCGCAATCAACTCATTCAACACACTAGGTTTAATACCATTTTGGTCTGTGACATCGAAATTGCCGATAACATCATGGATCACTAGTTCTGAGCGAATAAAAAATTTACTTTCCTTTAATTTGGCTTTCTCTGAATTTTTATTTTCGATCTCTGACTTGGTATTATTTATTTTTTACCTTTATTATTCTGTTTTCAAACATGTCTCTTATACTTTTCTATAATCAATTCTATATAATCTTTCTTCTTACTTCAGTCTCAATTATCAGTTTCAATTATAAAATATAGCATAATATGACCGCTGAGCACATTTGACTATGTTTTTCTCCTGACAACAAACTTAGGCTTCCTATATGTTATGTGCTGATACCCAAAATGTATGGACAATGGCTTATATGATTCTTTGTAATATGTAGGCAAATGTGCGAAAAATATGCTCCTAAAACACAGGGGTGTCGGGCCCACAGCCCTGCCATAAAAAGAAAATAGGCCTATTAAAACTTTTTTTTCACTTCTACCTCTTACAAGTCCTTTACTCGTAAATCATCTTGTTGTCCTACTCCAGCGAATGCTGTAAGTACCAAATTCAGGCCTAAATTCGCAAATACTTTGACGGATAATAATTTATAATGATGAAAATAAACCTGTTTCATCGGGATTTATCTGCAACTGATGCGACAATTAATTAGCTTGTCGTTTAGTATCTCAGACACGTCACCAACTATTTTATTAACAGTTTTGTTTATGTCTACCGCTACCTTATCCGACTTACTGTAGCCGCGTGTAAGCTGAAACCATCTATTTACACTATAACACTTTGATACTATCTTTATTATTAAAATCGGATTTTTTTTAAAACTTTTTTTTCTCTATAGATACATTAAGGAATTTTAATATTCAAGGAAATATAATATATTATATGCGAGCTGATTAGCCGAGTGGTTAAGTCAGGGGCACCGAACCTTCAGCTCTAATATCGGCGCTGGTTCGAACGGCTCACTCGCCAATGGTTCCGGTGGTGGAACAAGTCTTCTCGGATAAGGACTTCAAATCGTAGGTTCAGTGTACGTATTTGGCTCGTGTGCAAATTAAAGAGTAGGGGGTTCCCCGTGTACTGGTACATTAAGTCCCCTGTTGTTAAATGGATATGCCACGTAGGACAGTAATTAAGTTCACTTATTGGCATATCTTTGGCGTTCGTGCCTAAAAAATGAAATGAAATAATATGCTCATCCTATTGAGAAATGTTGTAAATTACCGTTCCACACATGCTTCACTTAAAATCCAAAATGCTCTCCTCCAAATATCATAAATTTTGAAGAAAGATAACATAGATTATTAAAAAACTTACATCAAATTCTGTTTCCTTGACTTTCTTCTGTCAGCTACAAAAGATATACTGACAACACTCCCTCAGTGGAAGTAAACACACATTGAGGAATTTTCCGAAGAGTGACAATTGTATGCGGCAGTGTGGGACAACGGCAATCGCACTGTCTGCGGGCTTTATAGCAGCTGTAGCGACGGTTGACTTGAGGTTACTGAATTGTTAGACTCTTTGTTTGTCACTAAACAGTTCTTACAAGGAGATAATAATAACTATACTGTGTACGCTAAGTCGTATTTCTATAAGAGGTCTAACCTTGCACAAGTACAGTACACTTGTTCTTGAATGTTATTAATTCTAATTTCGTCGAAATTGATCACATATTTTTACTTACTGGAATACAGTTCAAGAGTTTTGGTCATTTCTAAGACTTACCTAGGTCTCCATGCCATAAATTGACATATAGTTACGCTTTCTTGGGCGTAATTGGTATCCAAACGCGACTCAGAGTTACACAATACATTTAGTGGGATCGGACACGCATTCCTTAAACCAATTAAACAATGGGCTTTTTGAAAAATTTCATTTTACAATTTAACTGCAAACTCTGTAGCAGAAAATGGCTTATACATATTTTCTCTAGTTTTAACAAAATAAGAGAACTAAAAAAAAGTACTAACTATGCCTTTTGTGTGTTAGTTCACTCGTCTATTTTGAAAAAAGTGGTAAATAACTCCTTGTTTAAAGCAGACCATTTAAAAATGAAATAATAAAATCATTTGTAATTAAATCCGTAATTTCAAATATTGGCAAGGATAACATTTATCTGGTTCTTCAAACTTATCAAAATATAAGTCAGATATATAAAACGTCTCATAATCACACAAAGAAACACTTTAAATAGTTATGATAGTTGACAAATAGAGGTTTGACAAATCTTCGTTACAAAACATCGCAATCAACTCATTCAACACACTAGGTTTAATATCATTTTGGTCTGTGACATCGAAATTGCCGATAACATCCTGGATCACTAGTTCTGAGCGAACAATTTTCGATCTCTGACTTGGTATTATTTTTTTTTTACCTTTATTATTCTGCTTTTAAACATGTCTCTTAGACTTTTCTATAATCAATTCTATATAATCTTTCTTCTTACTTCAGTCTCAATTATCAGTTACAGTTATAAAATATAGCATAATATGACCGCTGAATAACACATTTGACTATGTTTTTCTCCTGACAACAAACTTAGGCTTCCTATATGTTATGTGCTGATACCCAAAATGTATGGACAATGGCTTATATGATTCTTTGTAATATGTAGGCAAATGTGCGAAAAATATGCTCCTAAAACACAGGGGTGGCGCCAGGTGTGGCGGGCCCACAGCCCCGCCATAAAAAGAAAATAGGCCTATTAAAACTTTTTTTTTCACTTCTACCTCTTACAAGTCCTTTACTCGTAAATCATCTTGTTGTCCTACTCCAGCGAATGCTGTAAGTACCAAATTCAGGCCTAAATTTGCAAATACTTTGACGGATAGTAATTTATAATGATGAAAATAAACCTGTTTCATCGGGATTCATCTGCAACTGATGCGACAATTAATTAGCTTGTCGTTTAGTATCTCAGACACGTCACCAACTATTTCATTAACAGTTTTGTTTATGTCTACCGCTACCTTATCCGACTTACTGTAGCCGCGTGTGAGCTGAAACCATCTATTTACACTATAACACTTTGATACTATCTTTATTATTAAAATCGGATTTTTTAAAAACTTTTTTTTCTCTATAGATACATCAAGGAATTTTAATATTCAAGGAAATATAATATATTATATGCGAGCTGATTAGCCGAGTGGTTAAGTCAGGGGCACCGAACCTTCAGCTCTAATATCGGCGCTGGTTCGAACGGCTCACTCGCCAATGGTTCCGGTGGTGGAACAAGTCTTCTCGGATAAGGACTTCAAATCGTAGGTCCAGTGTACGTATTTGGCTCGTGTGCAAATTAAAGAACCCAGTATATCCCTCGAAAAGAGTAGGGGGTTCCCCGTGTACTGGTACATTAAGTCCCCTGTTGTTAAATGGATATGCCACGTAGGACAGTAATTAAGTTCACTTATTGGCATATTTTTGGCGTTCGTGCCTAAAAAAATGAAATTGAGAAATGTTGTAATTTACCTTTCCACACATGCTTCACTTAAAATCCAAAATGCTCTCCTCCAAGTATCATAAATTTTGAAGAAAGATAAAATAGATTATTAGAAAACTTACATCAAATTCTATTTCCTTGACTTTCTTCTGTCAGCTACAAAAGATATACTGACAACACTCCCTCAGTGGAAGTAAACACTTGACGAATTTTCCGAAGAGTGACAATTGTATGCGGCAGTGTGGGACAACGGCAATCGCACTGTCTGCGGGCTTTATAGCAGCTTTAGCGACGGTTGACTTGAGGTTACTGAATTGTTAGACTCTTTGTCACTATAAAAACGTCATTTCGTCACAGACAGAACATTTTGTATCTCAACTCTGAACCGTTACAGGAATTTTCTAATCATCTGTTAACTTCCTTTTCCTGGTCCCTCTATTTCTATTTCTTGCATCCGCCACCTAGATATAAGGTTTCAAAAGCAACTTGAGCAGGGGGTACCGAACCCTTATACCAAGTGAGACATTTAACTAAAACAAAAAAAATCTGTTAAATTGTAATAATATAATTGGATTCAAAAGATAGAGGAAGGCAAAGAAGTGACAATAGATGAAAGTTCATCATGTTTATTTGAAGAAGCCAATCCATTTACAATAGAGAACAATCAAAACAATAAATTTGAAAAAAAGTTCATAATATCAACTGAAAATACATGCAGATATTTCAGTTGCTTTTAAAAAGCTTTTCCAAAAGCATACTTCACTGAATCAACAAGTGGTAGAGTGCGGCACGTAGTCTCAAAATCTGAAGAAAAAACCTTTAGAAATAGTTTTAATGATTTGAAAAAGTTTGAAAGTTCATGGTAATAATTTTCCAGGTAAGTAATTTATCATACCAACCCCACCCGCTATATCCCTAAAATATGCAATTTTTAGAAGAAATTGGTTTAGTTTAACAAGAAATTTGATATTTTTTATGCACTTTCAGGGTGAAAAAGGCATCTTCAAATGGTAGAGAAGGATTTTCTATATTTTCCCATTGTCCCCTGGTGGTTACGCCACTGCGAAGAATATCTGGCGGCTTAGATCAAAGGCTGTCTCTTATACACATCTAGATGTGTATAAGAGACAGTATCTGTACAGGTCTCCCAGCCTTTGCTGGGCTATAAACCCTTAAAAAAAAATTTTAAAAAAAACCCCATAAAAATTGCGCGCGAATCGCACAAACAATTTTTGTGTTTTTAATTCTAATTTCGTCGGAATTGATTCAAACTTTCTTTCTCTTCTTTCCCTCCCTCTCCCCTCCATTTTTTCTCATATTTTTTCTGCCCCCCTTCCCCGCCTGTTACGCCATTGTGTCTAATTAGAGGCCAAAGCTGCTAGAGCAAATAAAAGACCTTCCCAAAAGTGGTATTTAATTTGATGGAGACCTTCTGTATCAATCGCTGGCCAAAAACGAGGTTCCTCTGCTAGTATACATGTCATTTATTTAGATCAATAACTATGGGTATGTTACTGTGGGCCTAAATAATGTATGTATATTCAGGTTAAGAAAGTTTACACAACACTTTCAAGAGACGTATTAAAATAGATTATAATACCACTTGGCGACCCTCTCTGCATGGTGATAAATCATGTGAGTGGTAGAGTTGTAGTACCACTTACTCAAATCGTGCAGCAGTACCTATGTCATGGAGTCAACGTTTTTGACTTTTTCTTTTCTAAACTATATTTATTTAAAAAAAAAAAAAAAAAAAAAAAACCACCCAGAATATCAAAATTTATCATACCAACCCCACCCGCTATATCCCTAAAATATGCAATTTTTAGAAGAAATTGGTTTAGTTTAACAAGAAATTTGATATTTTTTATGCACTTTCAGGGTGAAAAAGGCATCTTCAAATGGTAGAGAAGGATTTTCTATATTTTCCCATTGTCCCCTGGTGGTTACGCCACTGCGAAGAATATCTGGCGGCTTAGATCAAAGGAGCTTTAAAAAAAATCCTAATAAATTTTGTGTTTTTAATTCTAATTTCGTTGGAATTGATCAAAACTCCCTAAAATGTGCAATTTTTAGAGGAAAATTACCTACTTTAACAGGAAAAGCTCCCGAAGTGCCCGAAATTTGAGATTTTTAGGCACTTTCAGGCAAAAGGCATCTTCAAATAGTGGGGAAAAATTTTCCACAGATGTATATTTTCCCTTGTCCCCCGGTGGTAACGCCATTGCGGAGAATATCTGGCGGCTTAGATCAAAGGAGCTATAAAAAAAATTGTGTTTTTAATTTTAATATCGTCGGAATTGATCAAAATTCCCTAAAATGTTCAATTTTCAGAGGAAATTTACCTACTTTAACAGAAATTTTAAGAGTTTTAGGCACTTTCAGGGGGGAAAAGGACATCTTCAAGGGGTGGGGAAAGATTTTCCACAGACAGATATTTTCCCCTTGTCCCCCGGTGGCTACGCCACAGCGGAGAAAATCTGGCGGATCAAAGGAGCTATGAACACTTGAAGTGGAGAAGGGGTTGCAGGGTGTTGTGAGTCTGGTCATTATATCTTCCTTTTTATTCCTGTATTTATTTTTCTCTTCTCTTTTTTTCTTTTCCTTTTTTCTTTCCTTTTCTTTTCCCCTTCTTTCTCTTTCCCTCCCTCTCCCCTCTTTCAGTCTGCCCCCTGCCTGTTACGCAACTAGAGGTGGAAGCTACCGGAGCCCAGCATACTGCCTAACGCAGTGCCTGCGTGCACCCGAGGGTGAAAGCGACGTTGTTTTCGACACTTTGGTGGGTGGAGCCCTGTTATGGATACCTATGCCGATAGCGCTCATACATTTCGGAACAGTTTTTAGCTTAAATAGTTTACGTTAAATTGATTTACTGCTTGTGTTTTTTGCTGTATATAGCGCATTAAGGCTTTTTGTGAAATGTGCTGTAAAAGAACGATTGTTGTTGTTGTTGCTGTTGCGGTTGCAGTTGCTGCTGCTGCTGCTGTTGTTGTTGTGTTGTGTTGTTATTATTATTATCTAGGTATCAACATTTCTTTTGGGGTTTTTTGGAAACATTTTGAACCCCCTTTAAAATTCTAGATTCGCCCCTGATAAAATTTTCAATCGAGCCATTCCGACACCAAACCTATAGCATATACAAATGCCCATATAATAAACTATGTCCTCTCCAAAAACTTGTAGTCGATTTTATTTTTATATAGTGGCCAACGTGAACAATAGCCTGTAAGGTTGGAAGTTTTGAACAAACAATACAACCTACAAGACAATCACTTGTTTTATTTCATTGGTTTTTTTTTTTTTTGTGTGTGTTTAGAAAACTTTCAAGGAGACGGAAAAATACATACAATTAGACAGAAAATTAGCAATCGTTAATAACAAAATGTCCATACTATAAACAGTGTCCTCCAGAAACTTGTAGTCGATTTTTTTTATTTAGTTGCCAAAGTGAACGATAGCCTGCAAGGTTGGAAGTATTGAACAAATACACAATACAATCTACAGGACAATCACTTGTTTTTTATTTCATTTATTTTGTCTTTAGAAAACATTCAAAGACACGGAAGAATACAATTAGAGAAAAATTAACAACCGTGAACAAATCGAAGGGATGACCAAAAAGCGAAAGAAATCACTGACGAGTACTCCTCCACTGGTAGTGATAATGACCAAACAACAATTAGGCCTATAAAGGTATAAATATTTCTAAATTCTAAATCAATTGGTTTTTAGTGATTTAAGGCTTTGTCACTGGAGGTATAAATTATTTACTGTTGCAGGTTTGTCGCTGAGGGTAAAATGTGATATATGCCTACTGTTTGTAGTTTTTGTAACTGATGGTAAGATGTATATATACTGTCTCTTATACACATCTAGATGTGTATAAGAGAACCGACCAATCAGAACAAGGCCAAGAATACGCGCGCGTCTAACAAGCACACATGTTTTCCCACAGACGCATGTTTGTGTACGTTTTAACCATAGAGCTATTAAACAACCAGAGTGCTGACAAGATGGCGCAACAATGCAGAGTTATGTATGTGTACCCTCCAAGATGGCCGTCGTAGTAAAGCGCCACCTTCAGGCTTAGTATACATATTATTACATATTAACAAAGAGTATAAATAGAACAAGAGAGCCAACAACGCTCATTGGGAGCGTAAAAAAACGATACGCTCTACGCAGCTAGTGTAGGACGCCAACTAACGCTTGTATATGTTTTATTACCCAGTACTGCACCTGTCTCTAGGTTTGTCTGTTTATCTGTTCTCCACAAGATACTGTGCTTTTGTTTTCTGCTTACTGAGTTTATAGCGGGCGTACTTCTACCGCGCTGCGCAGCGCTGCACTGGGTAATAAAAGAATATACAACCGTTAGTTGGCGTCCTACACAGGCATGACGTTTTTACGAACGGGACTTTGCTCTCTTGTTCTATTTATACTCTTTGATATTAATAAGCCCTCTGACTGACTATTATTTCATTAATGATAATGAGTAATGGTAATAACAAATTATTAAGCTATTGTAGCCAAAACGAGGCCAAGTAGAGCATCTTATTCAAAAATAAAGTACCAAGGAATGAAAATTAAGATCGTGTACATTACCCCCAAACACCGCAACGCTCGAGTTTCAAACATACGGGTAACTAGCTGTAGGCCTACTGAACTTTCTGAGTAAATTGAGGGCGCAATTGCAAACGATGGTGCTTAGCGAAATTTGATTGGCTAAATCTATGGCAGCCATCTTGGATGGTACACACACACACAGTTCTGCGTATTTCGAACATCGAATACATTGCGGTGAGCGCTCTAGTATTCTTATTATATCTCTATGGTTTTAACACACTGTCGTTTTGTGGGACCTAGCAACAAATATCCAAGGGGCGGGGCTTAGGTCCATTATAGGCTGGGGAAAGTGGCGTAACAACTATGAGCTTTCACAGGCTAAAGCCTGGAGTACTAGACCGTAAGATGCGCCACGATATTAAACTGGTTTTGATTGACCATTGACCGATTTGAGACACTTTATAGGCAAAACGTGTAAAAAAATCAAATACGTCCTTAAATAAGCAGAAGCGTCGGGGTATTTCCCCAAAATCACCACAAGGCCCTCAGCCCAAACAAAACCACAACATAACACAAGGTAGAACGATTGATTAAAAATACTATTTTCTAATATGATGTTCCATAGGCCAATACGGTGGTCATTTGGTCTTTAAAATTCATAAATTACGTTGTAAACCAGCATGGAAATCATAGTAGTATCCACTTGAATACGTGAACCTTGCTCTTGAATACATAGCATAGTTGCAGATTTAACTTCTTAGAATATCCCAAAATGTATTACTTGAATCATTAGAAAACCATCCCGACAATCAATACTCCTAAGTTCAATTTCTAAGCAATTTAAAGTACTTTTACTGTCGTTCAAACCAACAAAATTCACCAACAATGATGTGTCTTACAGCAGAAACATTACAAAGAAAACATGCACTTTCCTGAAAGCCTGGTTCCCATAAAATCGCTACACTGTCGCTACAGTGTTTTCACTGCAATCGTTGTGCTGCGTGGCAGTCACCGACGCGATCAGGAAAGCTTCCCGATTCAACCGACCAATCAGCCTCACCAAAAGCTGTCGGCGATAGCGTGTAGCGATTGTATGGAAAACAATCTATACCTAGACTCCAGGTACAGACTTTATCTATTAAATCCTATATCCAATTAGTAAATTAAAAGTTTAAAATTGTATAAAAGTAGTGAATACATCAACTTCCATCAAACGGTGCCATTTCCTTCTTTGTTTGCGACACATGTATTTTGCAGTTCCTGTGCGTTTTCGTCGTTTTTTTGCAGTGCTATATATTTTCTGATTAATAAAAGTAAAACAAACAAAAAACAATAATTACTGTATTACAACAGTCAGAACATCATTAAAGATACACTGTCTGTCAAGAAAATGAAAAAAAAAAACCTCAATAAGTCGTAAGTTAATTATCAACAATTTTAAGGGTCAATTCCAGCAAAGTTAAATATTATTAACTGTCCATTAATTGATGGCGAATCTTTGTTACATTCAACTAAAGTTTTAATTATTTGTAAAGATGTACAATTTTTGAAGTTACATCTATCTTACATTTTATAAATTTTATTTTTATTTTAAGAGACATGGGGTAACTTTACTCTGCAGTTGTTACCTGTAAGTAGGGAGCTAGCTGAACCGCAAACTTTTGAAAGTGGTATGATAGTGCTGGGGATGGGTCAGCTGTCCGAAACACAATACTTAGCTTGTGTGATAGACACGCTAAAAAGAATTTACACAATCTATTATGGTAACGATCGTTTTAATAAGTTCCGATTATTAAAGATATTATTTTAGGCAACCTACTTTCCAAAGTTTTCTCCTTCCTCGATGGTTTCTGGGAGATTTGTACCCAATGTTTCTGGCAGCAATAAACCGAGAAGACCCGCAACGACTGATAGAGAACTGAATATTACTAGAGGTAAGGGTTTCCAAATCTCCGTCATCAATAGAGCTAGAGGTGATAGGATGCTGCCAAGGCGGCCTGACATCGATGCCAGGCCCATACCAGCACTCCTGAATAAATAAAAAATATTAAAATTTAGATCATTGTTATTGTAATATAGTTACGTAAAAATAGCAGTACTAGTCTGATATAATACTAGTAGTATAATGAAACCGAAAGGTCTACTGATTAATATCAGATAAGAAAGTATAATACATACTCCAAGTATTGAAATACACGCCATCGTGTTGGGATCCAATATTTCGACATTAATTATGTCACCATCAGGAATGAAGAATTTAAAGACTGCTTTTATTGACAAGACACTAGCTTTCAGGGGCGGATCCAAATTTTTTCAAACGGGGTGGGGGGCACAGTAGTTTTAGAAGAGATAAGTGAGAGCACATAACATTGATATGCATTGGAATTTCTAGTGACATAATACTTGATGTTTGATGTGAATAAAATAAAATAGATACCTGACAGGAGTTGGAAAAAGTTCAGCCGAGTAAATGTAAACAATCGAAAAGGCGGCAGTAATTGCAAATTTACCTGCCATAGCAACAGCAACCCGGAATACCCCAGGATCTGTCAAAAAAGGGATACTATGTCATACTTTTTATATATTTGTCATAGAGTATGTTGCAATATATACTGTCTCTTATACCCATCTCAATTTTAAG